TATGAACAATTACACTGAAGAGAAGAGCGAGTGCTAAGTATAACCTATGAAAAACTTGATTATTATAGCGTACACTTCACTCTGGTATTTTAACTTTTACAACAATGAATTGAAGTTGAAATTAGAGTTCTAGGAGAATTTTGCGGATCAGTGCAGTTAAAGATTTTTCTTTAAAAACTGTGCTAGTCCCTTTTTTTCTATAGTTTATTTATTTAAATGAAAAATGGGTTAATCAAGCCCTGGTATAGTTGACCACTGTAAATACAGTTGTGGTTAATGCTATTTTGTTCCCAGTATAGAATGGCTTATAGTATTTCCAATCCCAAGCATTCAAAAATTATGAGTCAGGCCTCAAAGTCGTGATTGGCTTAAAATCATGAGATTTTAAAAAATAGCTTCCTTTTATTTGCTTTCTGCTTTTCATATGTTTGGGGTACACTCAGGCCATGTTTTCAAACTTTTTTCCACATCCATGAGGGCTAAAAAATTGTTTGTTTTTTTTAAAAAAGGAAACCCAAGATTATCATGTAACTCACTTGATTCCAGTCCACAAGTGGGAGTTTAATTAAAAACAGCAAATATCAGGAGTTACATGGTAAACTTATGAGAGATGGCAACATTGACTTTAGTGTAAATTCTCTGGATCTTCCACTTTGTTGTGACACTCCAGTCAAAAAGAATCAGTCATCATTATGGACACAAGAAAGCTTTTTTATGTAATTGAAAAAGTAAACGGTATAATATGTCATTAATATTTTAGATTAAACAATGATGGTTCTGCTCTAATTTTCCAATTGACTGTGCAAGACAGCTGCTATCCACTAGAAATAATAATAAACATTTCAACATATGAAACATAAAAGAACAGCTACCTCAGGCTCGCGGTGCCCTTGACAAATAATTAAAAATGCAAACCAACACAGACACAAACAGTAGCCAACCAACCATAATCCACATAAAGAAACCAGTCCACAAAACTGAAATTTACTCACCTCAGAGCTCATAAAACTCTAACCAATTTCCCTACCCTCCAAATAATTTGCCTTCCACTGGGAGGATGAACAGACAACTGCACTTCAGACCAAACACTAACCTAATAAAAGCAGCCTTATCCAGATCCTCCAAAGATACCTCCTAACCTGAAGAAGGAGGCCAGGGGGCCTTTCTGATTATACAATTTTAGATTTTTTTTAAAAAAGGTAGATTTATCTAGTAAATAAAGCCCACCAATGCACATTTAAAAACTATAGTTCAGAAGGAACCAAAAATTCTGTATGAAGAATTTTCAAATGTGTTGACAGCAAAAATGACAAAGGTTCTTAACATCTAAATGAAGGATAGAGGAAGGTCCAGCTTATCTGTCCGGATATAAATTAATACTAAGAAACTAATATATTAGGATTTGTTGAAAGAAAGAAAGAAAGAACCTAAGTAATCATTCAGAGTATATCACTTCAACAGAGCCCCCTTCTCACTGTTATGTGGACTATGATACCATGAGTTCTGCAACCAACTTGATACACTTGGGTCTGATTTTCAGAAGTGCTGAGTATTCACAGCTGTAAATGGAGTCATATAGGAGCTACACTTTGAACATATAAAGTGCTGTATAATGCTAAGCACTGAAAAAATCAGGTCTTAGGTGTCTCAAATTGGGCATCCAAAATTAGTGGAAACTTTTAACCTTACTCTCTGTGCCTCAGCTCCCCATCCATAAAATGGGGATAATACTACTGCCCCCTCACCTTAGGGGAGCATTGTAATAATGAATTAATGTTTTTTTATATACTATTTTGGTGAGTGCCACAGAAAAGTCCATGAGGAAATTTATAATTCTATCTTCAGAGCAGGGACTGAATTTTGTGCAGAAAATAAGATATGGGGCCACACAGTGAACAATGAGGATAATGCAAAACTGCATACTGATAGAGGCAGAAATCCTGTGAAAAATAATATGTGACAATGTAAACAAAGACTGTCATAATGTTTATACACAAGGGGGCCAAAATGCAACCTTAATTCTGTTGTTTTCTAACTTTTGAGTGCTTGACTTTCCAATCATAATAATGTTCTCTTAACATAGGGATCTGTGTGTATAATTAGTAGGGTTGCCAACTTTCTAAGTGCACAAAACCGAACACCCTTGCCCCGCACCCTTCCCCAAGGCTCCAGCCCTGCCTCACCCCCTGCTCACTCCATTCCCCCTCCTCTGTCGCTCACGCTTCCCCACCCTCACTTGCATGATCATTTTCACTGGGCTGGGGCAGGGGTTTGGGGTGAGGGAGGGGCTGAGGGCTCCAGCAGGGGGTGCAGGCTCCCGGGTGGGGCCAGAAATTAGGGGTTCAGGTTGCGGGAGGGGGCTCTGGGCTGGGGCAGGGGGTTGGGGTGTGGTGGGGGTGATGGCTCTGGATGGGAGTGCGGGTTCCAGGCTGGGGCCGAACGGTGCAGAGTGCGGGAGGGGGTGCGGGGTGCAGGCTCCTGGAGGGAGTTTGGGTGTGGAAGGGAGCTCAGGCCTGGGGCAGGGGGTTCGGATGCAAGAGGAGGTTTGGAGTTCAGACTCCGGGCGGCGCTTACCTTGGGCAGCTCCCCGGAAGAGGCACCATGTCCCTCGGCTCAGAGGCGGAGGCACAGCAAGGAGGCTCTGTGCGGTACATGTTGCCTCCGCCCACAGGCACCGCCCCTGCAGCTCCCATTGGCTATGGTTCCTGGCCAATGGGAGCTGCAGAACTGGCACTTGGGGTGGGGGCAGCGCGTGGAGCCCCCAATGCCATGCCTCCACCTAGGAGCCGAGAGGGACATGTCGCCGCTTCTGGGGAGCCACATGGAGCCAGGTAGGGAGCCTGCCTTTTCCCCGCTGCACCACCGACCGAACTTTTAACGGCTCAGTCAGCAATGCTGACCGGAGCCACCAGGGTCCTTTTTTAACTGGGTGTTCTGGTCGAAAACCGGCACTGGGCAACCCTAATAATTAGGTATAAGTTCAATTAGTGCCTACAGAACTATTAAGAGTTCTCATTTGAGAAAAATAGGCTAGCTCATCCAGAAATTAGACTTACGAGTTCGACCCTTGTGAGTGATCAATTAGTGACAATTTGGAGCCTGAATACTGAACACTTGATGGCTGAACCATGCATGTTTAAATCAACATTACTGGCCTCAAGTCCACACCTACTCCACCTTGCAGAAAAGCTAGATGTCTGAGGCCTTGTCTACATTAAAGAGAAAAGTCGATCTAAGCTTTGCAATGTGAATAGCATAACTCAAATCGCTGTAGCTTAGATTTACTTACCACAGGATCCACGCTACGCAACGTTGATGGGAGTTGCTCTCCCGTCGACTCTCCTTACTCTTCTCGATCAGGTGGAGTACAGGAGTTGACAGGAGAGCGATTGGCGGTCAATTTAGCGGGTCTTCACTAGATCCACTAAATCGAGCGCCAATGCATTGATCGCCGCAGCATCCATCCTCAGGTAAGTGTAAACAAGCCCATAGATACATGGTTTTCTACAGATATGTCGTTCCAAGCATCAAAAAAAAAAAAAATTTTTTTTTTAACATGTAGATCTGTGTCTGTTGCATAGGTGGGTGTCTGGAAACAATTAGTATCTCCATGGCTCAGAAGGTCCTGCTTGATCAAGAGGTAAGGTAATGGTGTATTGAACAGAGAAACCAGGTCTGAAAACGTAGATCATTCCCTGTAGGAGAGATGGATGGAAATGTGTAGAGAAGAGAGACCACCTCTCCCTAGTGCTATTCCACATTTTTCCTCTACTTGTAGAAGAACGCCCTTTTGAGTGCCCTGATAATAGTAGGAATAAAAGGACTGCTTGCTTCTGTAGCTTGATTTGTATTCTATGTCTGCCTCATTTCTTCATCTGCAAAATGGGGATAAACATTTATACACCTCATGGGTATGCTGTACAGATAAATTCATTAATGTTTGTGAGGTGTTCAGACACCACAAGTGATGAGGGCTACTACATTTCACAGACTTCCAGAGATAGGTCCAATACTTTGGCTTGGGTTTTCCGGATTTTCTAAATTATGAATTATTTACAACCATTACTATGATTTGCTGCTGTGACCAATACATCGTAAACTGGTAATGTTCTCACTCATTCTCAGTCTTCATCAGGACACACATGATTTCTTTCTACTCTATCAGGCAGATGGCCCAGAAGGGGAAGAAACCTATTAAAAAATAAATAAAATTTTTAAAATGTGTGTATGTTGCTGCTTGGGGTTTACAATTTGTGACGAGGAAAACTAACATCATAACATAGTAGAAATATATCTGATTTTCACTGGGTCATAAAGAAAAACACCCACAAAATGTCAATGGCATTTGTAATTTTAAAAAATGAGATATACTTCATATATTCAGTCTTGCTGGTATTCAAGATGACACTGCAATGCAGCAAAATAATACAAACCAAAGGGTCAACTTTAGATTGCTATTCAATTTTAAAAATGGTTTAAAATCACTATGATGTTTTAGAGTGTGCATCAGAGTTTACCCATTTTTCTAATTCTATTTAATTATTACCAAGGATTAAAGTGGAGCATGAGAAGTCAAACGCTTTATGACCACTTGATATGGGCCCTTGTTGAATGACCTCTGCCTCACTCAGTGAATACACAGATCATTCAAGAGCAATTACACATAGTTTGGGATGATCAGTAGCATCCTAATTTACTTTAGCAAGCATAAAGAGTACTCAGGGGGAAGGGTTTGTAACAACTTTTATATTAAAAAATAGAAAAGCAACATACCTGTCAACAATAATATTACAACATTTGGCTTGCTGATCTGAATGCTTTCTGGAGGTGAAAGAAGTTGAAGGGGGAGATCTTTTGATACTTTAATTAAAATTATGAATAAGTCTTTGTACAATTTTAACCACTCCCACCATCAGCCTTCCTGAAAATAAATAAATTCCAAAAGCTTGGTATGACTTGAAATACAAATGCAACTGAGATGAAAGTGCTAAATACATCACCTTCTGTAGGGTGGCTTCCACAGATTTCATATGACTGGCAATTAATTCTTTATCTCTATTAAAGGAAGGAAAAATTAAGCCTTAGTAAAACAGAGGCTTTAGTAAAGACAGGCTAATTTTCTGCCAATCCAAATATCTTATCAACAATTTCATATTATACATTTTTTTAAACAATCCAGAAAGTATTATTCTTAGATTCCTCCCGACCTTTTAACCCCCAAAATAAAGTAATGGGGATTCTGGCTCATTGGAGACAAGGAGGTCTTTTGAGTATCTAAACTCATGCAGTACCAGAAGTACATAGACTGGAGTTAGATGAGATCTTGTGAAGGCCAGCTTCAGCACTGATGCCACAGATACCGATCGCTCAATATGAGAATGTCCAGGGTCTAACTCTGTCGGTATCAATGCAGAGATAAGAGATGATAGTATAGGTACCAGGGATACAGCAGGGTCCAATGGCACAGACCAGTTTGAGGCAGAACCTTTACTACCAAAGTACCAAATCTTTTTTCAAAGTAAGGGTTGTAGAGGACATTTTAGATGCCCTGACAGTACTGGAGCCACTCAGAGCCTCAGTGGAACTCTCTCTTGGACCTGAGGTCTCCAGAGCCTTCTTCTGACTCAGTGACTGGGATTTCTTAGGAGATCTAGTACACCTACTTTTCTTGTTGGTACCCCAAGACTCAGAGTGTGATTCTCTCTTTACCACAGGCACTGATACAGATGCTGCCTCTCCTGAGGCCTTCAGTGACCAAGACCTGGAGGTGGATGGTGCAGCAGCACTTGTATCTCTCAAGACTCTTGGTGCCCGGGATCTTGAAGTGGACAGGGCATTAGCAGAACTCGACAGCTTGTTTACAGGGGGGTTCTCAGAGCCTGGGTCAGAAGCCAGTCTTAGGGCTTTCTCCATCTTCAGTAATGCAAATTTGATCTCCTGTTTTTTCGAGATCTGCTTTTGAAGGAAGTGCAGCTCTTACACATACTGGGGACAGGAGTGTCTCTTAAACAATGAAGATACTGAGAATGTCCACCAGTGATGGGTGTAGCTTCCCAACAGGAAAGACACCTTTTAAAGCCTCAGGATCCTGGCATACCCCAGAACAGAAGTCTAGAATAACCCCTCAATCGGTGAAAAATGAACAAGAAGGGAAAATAATGACCCCAACAAACTACTAATAAGCTAAACTAACTAACTACACTAGAAGCTAGGCTTGAGTAAGAGAGCATGCTCAACACTTTATCTCAGGCCAAACGCAGTAGAGAAGGAACTGAGGGTAGGTCGCCCACGCAGTTCTGTATATCCTCAATACGGGGCATGAGGGTGTATAGGGCATATTCACAGGCCAAATGGACATTGCTACTGAAAATCTCCAATCAGAGGTGCACATGCTCTGAAGGGAGCACCCATAGGGACACTACTTGAAGAAGAAGAAGATACATTCTCCAACTTGTAACAGGCAAACAAAAATGCTCAAGCTATTACAGGACACAGATAGTGGAGCACTTGTCTGGGATTATTATATAAAATATACACTTAGTAGACTGAACTAAGAGTTTTCTTTTTAGAGGATATATCACTGAATTTCAAAGAGCGAGAGCACTGTACTTTTGTTTTCTACCACTGCTTTATCTAAGGCTAAAACCCTGCGCATGAAAGTAAGAATTGATCTTTTGTCTGTTTTAAGTGATCTCCCTAAGGTCCCAGTGCTCACTTTGCTGCCATGCGGAGGGCACTCTCTGCATCGTGGATGCTCTCTTCCAGTCGACGCTTGTCCTGCTCCAGCTGGGTAAGATGTCTATTGAGCTGACGCAGAGATTGATCTTTTCTTCTCAGCTCCATCTTTGCCTCGGAGAGACTCTGCCAGCAGACAGAAAGCAGAGTTACTTGTCAGCCCTGATAATTAACTTCAATTTATGCCATAGGCTATTAAACAACGAGGAATACAGACTGACTGTGAAGTAGATTTGGGCCATTACAAACCAAGGTTTTACAATTTTTCTACCATAAGTATTATTTATTTACTAACACTACAGAAATCTAATTTTTTTAGTGCATCATACATTTATAAATGTATTATAAACAGACAAAATGATGTGCTGAATTGAAGACAGATGCTACAGGTACAATACTTAAAAATTATATTCTGGGCACATGAAAATATCAGGAATATCATATTTTTAAAAACCCCAAATAAATATTAAGTAAAAATACTTCATAATAAAACAATTTACAGATAAAAAAAAATGCAAGGTACTGTTCGTTTAAATATTGAGGAATATTACCCACCTTACAGAAATCAACAGAAAGGAGAGAGTCCAACACAAAAATAAAGAACCATCCAACAGTTTTTCTAGTGTGCAAAATCAGTGTTAACTACACTGCAAGTTATGTCTAACACATCACATTATAGTACATCAACTATTTTATGACTTTTCTGATCTCCAATATATTTTGCATGTTTCTGTTCCCTAATGTATACCCAACAATCTCTTACTTAGCATTAAAGCTTAGTGTTTAAAATTAATTCAGATTAATTCAATAGATGTGAAATAGCACTGTAAGCTGAACAATAAGAAACCTGACTAGCAAAACTGCAGTCAAGGTTTTTTCACTGTTTCTGCTATAATGTAATATAGTAATCATAACATCTTTCAATTCATTGCTCCAATTCTCCTTCTCCCTTTTGTTAGGAGGAATCTTTAATGTTACAAACAGGAGTGTTAGTAATATGTTTACATTTTGGTAATATGTTTTTCTGTATTTTTGCTTATGACCATCTATTTTGTCTCTTCAGTATGTAAAATATGATTTAAAAAGGAGTTGGCTATAAGTTTACTTTTATGTTAAACAGAAAAATTTACCATACAATTTTCAAAACAATGTAGTGGGATTTGGCTGTGCAGTTGCAGGGCTAAGTCCTTGCATGCTGGCTTTGCAAATTTAGGGGATATATTCTCAGATCTGGAGCCAGGAGTTTTTATATTTGTATAGTAAATTACATTTCTATAGTTACTTCTGTCTGAGGATTTCAATGTTCTAGAAACTTTAATGAGTTAAGGGTCTGCTTTTCAGAGTCACTGAGAACCCACAATTCCAGCTGAAGTCAGTGGGAACTGGGGACACTCAGCACCTCTGACAATCGGGCCCCAGACATGTTGGAAAGTAGGCAACTTCCATCTTACAAACGGGAAGCTGAGGATCAGAGAGGTTAAGGTTTTTGCCATAGGTGACATAGCAAATCTGTAGCAGAGCTGGGAGCAGAACCTAGATCTTCTGATGCCTGTAAATAGTAAGATTTTGCTTCTCCTAACAAAGAAAATCCGGTTAGTCAAATTGTTTGATCTTCAAGTTAGAAGAATATCTTCCTGAGCAATCAATCAATCAATAAATAGACAGACAAATGTATTGCTCTAGAGTTCTATTTTTGAATTTCTGGAAGGTAATCAGACATTTAAAAAAGAAATGTTTTACATCTTTTGCCTCCATTGTGGACTAATCCCTTTTGAAATTAAAAAAGGAATCATGTATATTGGCCGAGATAGAGAGGCTTTAAAAATTGCTACTATACATGTATAATATTTATCTTTTGAATATAATTTTAAACTAAACATTTGATAATAATGATCCATACCGTGCAAATTTTTCAGAAGGGCTTCTGAATGTATTTTGTAACTTCATATTAAGAATGTTCTGTGTAGTTTATATTCTGTATCCATAATATTGAATGTGGAGTGCCATGAACATGCATTCATAGCATACTATGACTGTGTGTTAAGTATAGACAAAAGTCTGGTAAACGTTTACAGGGCACTGAGAATATAACCAATCTGAAGATATCTCAGGCTTGCTAAAAGTCAATAGCACTTCTATCTTTCTAAATACAGCCAGACAAAATTATCCCAAAGAAAGGAAATTAAAGAATATAAAACTATATTGAAATAATGTCCATCTGCAAAAGAAATGAAATTCAGCATTTAAAACTAAAATGTCACACCAAATCCATTTAATTTTGTCAATGCCTAGGTACTGTAGAATCCTGCTACACTGTTTTATGAAACCTTCTCTCAAAGTCAGTACTACCAAGCCAATGCTTCAGTATTGAGCCAAAATGTATTGCATTGCCAGAGAAGCCCTCTTTTACATAAGATGTAGATTCCAAGCTCAGATCACTTGTGGTTATTAAAAATCCCAGGGAATTCTTTATAAAAGTAGGGAGACCCTCCCTGGGTCTTGGAGCCCAGGCTCCAACCGGAGTGGGAATGTCTACACTGCTATTTTTAGCCCAGTAGTTTGAGTTCAAGTCAAGTGACCTGGGCTCTGAGACTTGGTGCTGCAGGTTTTTCTTTCCAGTGGTGGCATACCCTCAGCCCCCTACAGGGCTTGTTAGGCATGTTTTCCACAGGAGGGCTCAACCTCTGTGAGGGGGTGGAGAGAAGGATCAAAAGCCTCAGAGGCGTTTAACGACACTGACTGTCTTGTGACAATGTTAGATGGTTAAGGGGGAAGCAGAGAACGATACTGTTGGGGAGCAGTCTGACTCCCCAGAGTTCAGAGGTTAGGGTGTTTTAGGTAAGATAGGCTTCAGTCTTTAGGTAAGATATATGCACATAGACTGTTTTATTGTTTTAAAAATCCTTCTGTCTTGTTATGCTGGGCTCCTACTGTTAAGATTAAATGATATTTTGTTTTTAAAAGGCTGTTTTGGGTAAATGTATTCACTGCTGGTCACAGCTCCCAAAGGGAAGAACTGCAAGTAGCCAAACCCAGTTAAACCTGCTGAGTAATCACAGCTGGTACACAGGGTACCGTAGCCTCGGGTCCAGTCTAAGAGTGGAGAATGGCAGGATTCTTACTGGGAGAGATGAAGGCTCAAGGGGTGCACTCAGAAGAGACCATAAGAGGGACCAAGGTGGAGCTGGCCCTGACCTGTGACAGGTGTTACCATCATGTACAATCTTTGCTAGCTGGTGCCAATGTGAAAATAGAACATGGCATAATGAAAGCTCTTAATGCACTGATGCTATATTATTTTAAACGGTTGGGGGAACAATTTTCAGAGGTCTTCAAACATTCACCAATTGTATTTGCCACAAAAGCTCCCATGCTTAGGCACAATGGGCGATTTAAAGACAAAAGTTTCAGCCTTATGTTTGAAATTCCTTGCCATTGTGGGTTAAAGACAAACCTTTTAAACTGTTTGAACACTGCTTTAAAGGAAGGGCTGCTAAGCCTTTTTTCCCCTTTCTTCAGATTGATCTAATTAAAACCCTTGATAAACTTTATGGACTCTAATATTTCTAGCTGAGTGACTGAAACCAAGAGGGTGTGCCTCAAGGCAGCAAGGCAACAATGATAAGCAGCAGGTTAGCCACTAATTTCTCAACCAGGGTAGATTGTGAAAGTGTGATGTTCAGATATCCAAGAAACTGTTCAGGAGAGAATAGGATAAATCAAGTTTAATAACTCTGCTCCTAATTGTTCCCCCAATGCTCAACTCTAATTACTTGGAGAACTCTCCTGACTGTCACCTGATATTAAGTTGTTGGAGGCTGAGTGTGGAACAGTGAGATAATCAATAAACATTTAGTGGGGAGAAGAATGAAGATCCCGTTAAGCAGTGGGAACCTGCAGCACCCAAAGCCCTTCTGCTCATGAGAAAACCTATGGGACAGCCATAGTGATTGCAAAGCAATAATCCAAGCACTGTTTCTAGGCCTTGAGGCCTTTAGGCAACAGTACATTTGAGAAAAAAAGGTTAACACGGTCACCCTAATTACAGCCCACTTTCACATATTTCATATATAAGCTAAGACAAGCCAATTAGGTAGAAAGGAAGATAAGGGAAGTTTTATTTGTATACTAATTAAACCCCTGATGAAATTAAAGGAAAAACATACAGCTCTGTAATTGTGTCTGAGAAAGGTCACTTCAGGTTCAGTTATCAGAAAAGCACAGCCTTGAGATATTTCACTTAATCCACACTATAGCCCTTATTTTGTTCCCTGGGTCTTAATGTTTACAAAAATAAGAAAATTTCCAAGCCTGATAGTGCATTTATCTTGAAATGTTGCTGTGGACAATTTCAATTTTTAGAAAGTTAAGGCTAAATATGATAAAAAGAAAGTAAGATTTAAAAAAAAAAAAATTATGCCTGCACATAGTTTTACAAAGATGCTGAGTTTTCAGTTTCAAGAACAAAGGAACACACCAACTTTTAAAAACTGAACTCCATTTTGTTTACATTTAATAAGCAGTCATTTGATCTAATTAGTTTAGATGTTTAGGTATTCTTATGCTCATTCACCAGACAATCATGTTCATTCATCTGTAGCCCACCAAAAATCTCATACATAAACTGAGTTTCCATCAGATTCCTCAGAGGAAGGTACTTGAATCTAGCTGTTTTTTCCCCTAAGCTGAGCATGAACAGTAATTTGCTGGTGGAAACAGCAAAGTAACTAATAGCATAGGAGAAAAATCTCTTGGGCAGCACGTAGGCTGAGTTAGAAGATCCGTGCATAATTTTATTCCTACACAGCTTAGGTTCTTTGTAGTTAGAAAACTTTTTTATAAGAAGTTGTTAACAGAAATCAAAGTTTAACTCTGCTATCCTACATGTGGGAAAGCACTTTATTCAACGTCAAAGTAAGCACCTTAACCACTAGGCTATAGAGTCATTCTCTCTTTTGCTCTCTGGTCCCATCAATATTTAATTATTCAAACAAACAACAGGAGCTCCAAGAAGAGAGTGTGAGAGAGGCCCAGAATAGCCAATAGCCAGGGCCCTCCTGGCACAGGTCTGAAGATTTACATCAACAAGCAGGGAGGGGCTCAAACATTGATGCAATGTTGTCACT